TCATTTTACAGTTAAAATATATGTTTATTAAATAAAGTCTAATGTTACAACTAATCGAGGATCCCTTTAATGGGGGGGCTAAGGAGAGTGATGTAGCTGTATGGAGCACACCCTCCAGTCCCGTTTTGAAAAGGGGAACCACCACCCCAGTCTGCCAATCCAGTGGCACTGCCCCTGATGTCCATAAAGGCGTGTCAACAGGACAGCCCCACAACATCCAGAGCCTTGAGGAAATCCGGGTGGATCTCGTCCACCCCTCAGCTCCTGTCATGGACAGACCAACCCCGAAATCCCCAAACTTCATCTTCTTTAGTACAAATTTTGCTATTTTTAGCCATTGTTTACATATTTGCTCATTTTAGCTTCTTTTCTGTTTGTTTTACCTTTGAAAAGTCAGTTTATTCTTCGTCACATTTCTGTAAAACCGTCCAGCAGTATTTTTTTTTTTTTTGGTAAACAGCCCCTTCTTGCTTGTTTTCTGTTTCCCTCCACTGACTTGCTGAGAGAAACAAGAAGCTGTGTTAAATCATGCAGACCATCAATCACGTCCCTCAGTCCTGGTGACAGCTCAGAGGTGATATCTCCAGCAGCCAGCAGAGGAACGTTTCGCTGCGTGCACCATCTGGTCAAAACCAAATATTCTCCGGTTCACATACCCATAAACAAATGACATGATGGCACCATAAAACGCCACTTAAAGGAAGTCTGAAGGATTTTATTACAGTGAAGCTCTTCTAACTGCAGCAATAAGCAGTTGTGTCTACATGTTTTCATGGGGAAAACTGGGTGTGATTTTATTTTTTTTAATCTGCAGAAGTTAAACATCCACAGCTCAAGGATGTGATTTGCACACGTGACCACAGACTGTACACAGTGCTGCTCTTAAGAGTGAAAAGGACGAAAAACACTAGTTTATTTTATTGTTTTTATTGTGAAAAACAGCTGCTTTTATGACAATCGACACACCTACTGGTGTGAGTATGTTGGACGTTTAAACATCTGGACTAAGCTGACAAGGTCTTGGTCCTGCAGGCTGAGCTCCTCCATCAGCGTCTTCAAATACTGCACTGATGCTGACGTCTCCAAGGCTTCCAGCACCACCGGAGACACCTCCGACAACCTGAAACACATCAGAACCAAACTCAGCCGCGTAGGCCTCAGAAAAGACAATTAAAGACAGCCTCATAAAGTCCTAAAACTTTAGTTCACACTTTGAGAAATATAAAAAAGTATCCAAACTATTTCCTACGATGGATTCAGAAGATTTTCTAAAGTTAAACGTAGTCTAAATTTGCATCCCTTAGCATCAGATGCTGATAAAAACACTTGTTTCTCATATAAACCTCAAACTCTTGTTTAACGTCTAACCAGAAACTTTTAACAAATCCCCTGTTTCATTCAGCTCAGCTGTAGTTATGGCTGCTGTAGTCTAGTTGACCCAAAACATTTCAGCTTCTGACTCAAAACAATGACGACAAAAACCTGTGACCCCATTTAATTACAGGTTTAAATATATAAACTTTACACAGTCTTAAAAACTATGGTACTAATTTTATTAACTCATGTTAACGGTTGTAAAGATGCTTTAAGCAAATATTTTAAAATGAAGTGGATATCTGGGCCCGTATTTATCAAACTTCTTAGAATTACTCTTAAGAATGCTGCTAAGAGTGGACTTAAGTGTAAAAAAAATCTTAGTTAAAAACTGAGAGTAAAAGTCAGTTATCAAGTGTCTCAGTCTCACTTTAAGTGAAGTGTAGGATTAATTCTTAAGTGTCAGTCTTAATTTAAGTGAAGTGTAGGAGTAATTCTTAAGTG